AGTTTCTATTATGTCTGTTTTATGTTTTATTATTACTAGTTGGAAAAAATGAAATATTTGCAAGTTTTTCCTCTAAAGTAGATAAAGTAGAATATGTTAAACGAGATACACCTAGTGATAATGATACTTGTCATGGACTAAATTTTTCAGATGTTTTAAGTGATGATGCGAAAGTATTTGGATTTTATGACCCACTAAATCCACTGGAAAATAATTCTCCAGTGGTGGAATTTATTAAAAATATTAAAATTGATTATCTTAATTATATTGGTAATTCAAAGAATTTTTTAATTTTCGATGAAATTAAGAATAAAAAAATTTAACTCATTTTCTCAATAATTATATTAAAATAGTTGATATCAACAAACTTGAGAATAACAAAATTATACAACAGGAATTGAATGATTTAAGGAGTAACTTTAATTCAAAGGAACTTCAGGTTAGTATAATAATATTCGTGATAATGTTTGTGATAACACTGATGTTATATTAATATATATAATATATTTTAATATAGATATTACTTTCAATTACATCATCAGATCTTCTTGTTCTTGAATCTCCAAATCTAATAACAGAAAAAGTCAAAAATTATGGACTTGATGGGGTATACCAAATTATTCCATTAATTCTATTACCCTATTAATTTTATTAATTAATAATTTAATAATTGTGTATAGGTCAACATTATTTATACTTGTAATGTCAGTATCGATAATATAGTAATTAATATAACTACAGTGCATTCCGACAATTGGAACCCAAGTTGGATTACAACATTTACAGTGACCGCAAGTGAGAGTGAGTTAGACACTATTTCTAGGGTTCAAGAATATGTAAATTATACGATTATCCAAGTAAGAATTTTAAAATTATTTATCTTTATATTATATTATTATTTTATTATATAATTATTATTTTTATATATTCTTTAGGCATTTTATCTTGGTCCAAATGTGGATTATAGTGCTTCTCCAGATAAAGTGAATAGTTATAATGGTACTGTCAATAGTTTATTTAAAAGACTTAACGGAATGGATTTTAAAAAATTGATTTGGGGATTTGGTCTCAGTGGAATTATAAAAGCTAATCCTGGATCAATAACTGGATTGATGAAAAATAATGATACGTGTGCAGGTGGATTTTATATTTGGCCATGGAAAGAAATAAGGAATACAGCATTAACGGATATGTGTATAGCTAAAAATGCTGAGGGTTGGACTCGTAATTTTGATACCAACTCTTCAACTCTTCAAAATAATAAAGTACCAGTCGATTTGTTTGCTTACGAAGATCTTGAATCTTTATATCATAAATTCAAATGGGTGACCAATAATAAATTTGCTGGAATATCAATTGCAAATTTAGCATTTGATTCGGTTGACAATAACAAAAGCATATTGAAATTTATAAAAAAAACTGCTCCTAAAAATAATGAAAATGGAAATAATAACGGTAACGAAAATAAGACTACACCAAATGGTGATGATAATAAGAATAATGATGATGATAAGAAGACGA